GATGGATCCCAGGTTTGATTCCGGTCAAGGGCATGTACAATGGTTGTGGGCACATCCCCAGTAGGGGGTGTGCAGGAGGCAGCTGATCGATGATTCTCTTTTATCAACGCTTCTAGCTCTCTATCCCTTACCCTTCCTCTCTGTAAAAAAATCAATAAAATATATTTTAAGAAAAGAAAAAGAAAAAGAAAGCAGGGTCAGTTTATCTGTGTGTGAATCTGCAAGTAACCCCAGTGAGAAGATATTCTCTATCATCTTCAAATAGTAACATTTTTAAAATGTGTGCAAATCTTACATTCTACCCCAAATTATGTTAATATTTGCTTTACAAAAACAAAAAAAATTAAATTATACATATGATAAGGGGTCAGTATCTAAAATTTATAAAGAATTTATACAACTCAACATAAAAAAATACCCCACACAATCCCATTTAAAAGTGGGCAAAGGATGCCTAACCCATGTTCACAGACAATAGGGTGGTGAAGGCCTGGAGTGGGGGTGGGGTGGCTAGATGGGGTCCATGGGGAAAAAGGGGAACATTTCTATTGTAAACTCTATTGCAATGCTTTCAACAATAGAGATTTTATATATATATATATATATATATATATATACAAATAATCTGAATAGATGCTTCTCCAGTGAGGACATACAAATGGCCAATAGATATATGAAAAAATGCTCAAAGTCGCTAATCATCAGAGAGATGCAAATTAAAACTACAATGAGATATCTCTTCACACCTATCAGAATGGCTATCATCAATAAGTCAAGAAATAATAAGTGTTGGTGAGGATGTGGAGAAAAGGGAAACCTGGTGCACTGTTGGTGGGAACATAGATTGGCATTAGGCCTGAAGAGAGTCTTATACTACAAACATAATTTTATTGGTTTTGTTAAGCCACAGTGGAAAGCAGTATGGAGCTCCCTCAAAAAAATTAAAAATGGAAATGCCTCAGAACCCAGTGATTCTACTTCTAGGAATATATTTAAAGAAACCCAAAACACTGATTAAAAAGAATATAATCACCCCTATGCTCATTGCAGTGTTACTTACAATAGCCAAGATTTGGAAGCAGCCTAAGTTCCCATCACTAGATGAGTGGATGAAAAAGCTGTGGTACATTTACACAGTGGAATACTACTTGGCTATAAAAAGAAAGAAAAATGGAGAAAATCTTAACTTTTGTGACAGCATGGAGGGACCTGCAGAATATTATGCTAAGTGAAATAAACCAGTCAGAGAAAGGCAAATACCATATGATCTCACTTATATGTAGAATCTAATGAACAGAATAAAGTAACCAACAAAATACAAACATAAATACAGAGGACACACTAATGCTGTCAGAGGGGATGGCTAGTGGGGGCTGGCTGAAAAGGGTGAAGGGATTAAACGAAAAACAAACAAATAAAAACTCAACCTCATAGACACAGAAAACATTATTGTGATTACTAGAGGGAAGGACAGTGGGGAGAGTAGAAGAGGGTTAAAGGGGCATAAGTAGTGCTAGAAGGAGACTTGTCTTGGGTAGTGAACACACAATCCTATAAAATAAAACCCTATTATGCTATAACACGCACTGACCACCAGAGGACAGATACTCATTGCAGAAGCTGTCCCCTGGTGGTCAGTGTGCTCCCAGGGGCCCAGGGGAGTGCCACTCAGCCAGAAGCTGAGCTCATGGCTGGCAGAGTAGCAGCAATGGCAGGAGCCATTCCCACCTCCGAGGCAGCACTAAGGACCCCTTGGGGAATGTCCGACTGCCAACTTAGGCCTGGCAGTGGGACATCCCCGGAAGGGTCCCTGACTGCAAGAGAGCACAGGCCGGGCTGAGGGACCCTCCCTCCACCCCCAGTGCACGAATGTTATGCATCTTCCCTCTAGTACAATATACAGATGATGTAGTATTGCATTGTACACCGGAAACCTGCGTAATTTTATTAACCAATGTCACCCCAAGAAATTTAAAAATAAATAAAAATAAAAATATTTGCTGTTAATTAAAATGAACTCTTAAGGAAGATGCATCATGTTTATTATTGCCTTTGAACACTCCTGGGATATTGACAAGTACCCGTCAAGCATTACCACAACTTTAAAAACACAGGGTCCTAGATCATTGCAGCCCAGGCCATGGGATATTTTGTTAGCATTTAGAATTTCTCCACATGTCCCCTTTCCACTTTGCTACATGTAAACTCTTGAAGTCCTTTTGCTTAGTTCACTAGTGAGATTGTTAAAATGTAGTTCTAAGCACCTAATCAGCAGCATGTCCGAAGTTCAGATGACAAAGAGACATACACTCAGCTTCCTCAAACAGAAAATCTCAGTCTGAGGTGAGAATTACCTCTCCACTTTTGGTTAACACTGGAGACCAAGCTGAGAAGTTCTAAAACTTAATGCTTTATTTGGAGCATTTAGAGAGTCTGATCAAACAGCAAGCTGATCACACTCAGATAGGAGTACAAGAAATGACTTATTTATACATTCAAATTTCAAAACATTTCTGAGGCCTGCCATGTGTGCTGTTAAAAGGTTTTTAATTTTAAATGATTTTTGTTAGATAATCTGTTTAAAGTGACATTATGATTTATCGCCACTAATCAAGATTCTGATCCCTCGTAGACTTCTTGTTTGTATCTGTTTTTGTTCTTTGTTACATAAATATGAGGTTTATACATAAAATTCTGACTGTGTAATATAGGGCTAATGAGTCACAGATGGAAATATGCTGGCACATTACCATCTAATAACATTTTAAACTCATATTCCCTAGTAAAACAAAAGCAAATTGTACACATCTGTTTTCCAACTTGTAGCATTTCTGAATTTGTGTAGAGTCTAGGCTTAAAGGACTTTTACTCAGGGAGGAGAAAAAAGAGGATACAGGTCACCTTGAAACTACCCAGCCACTTAATTGCCTTATCGGAAAGGATTTGGGGAGAGGGATCCGACTTCCTCTGCTCTGCTTCCTGAGGAGCCTCAGCTTTAAAGAATGAGAATCTGGGGCATTAGGGCTGAAAAAAAGTCTCATGGTATAAGCATAGTTTTATTGATTTTGTTAAAAAGAAAAATATATCCCTAGTAAGGGGGAAATAAAGGAGAAAATGTACCCAAACTAATAAAATTGAAAAACGAGAAATTTTCTGGCCTTTCCTAAAAAATATTCTCAAAACAGATTTGGGTGGGAAGAGGAGAAAGACAGTGAGGAGGAGAGGATGTAGGAAGGCAACATGGATTGCCTTGGTGGTGGATCATTTCGTTTGTGTGGTGAACATGTTCTGCATGAGGCAAATGGAGTAAAAAGCTCCCATATCACATGTTGTTGCAAAAGACATAGAACGAAAGCAGAATTTCTCTCTCAGACCTACCCAATCGATACCACCTGGAGGGCTGCCCGAGTACAGTTAGGGAAGTACAGGACTCCGGCTCAGTCTCCCCCGCGCTCCTGGGCTAAGGAATTCCAGCCCACTTTTCTGCTTCAAGGGGTTGTGTCAACTGTCAAGATCTTTTGAAAACAGGTTCGTGACAGAAGTAATTACTATGGAGTGTGACCATAACCCCCCCCCCCCTGACATGAAATGCCCATGTTATAAGAGACAGATTTCCATCTACCACCTCTGCAGGAATTCCTGGAACAGGAAAGGCCTGAGAACCATCAGATGATGCGGGAGGGAAATTCTGATATGTGGGTGGTATGTTGTGAGGCGTGCTGCATTTATTCTGAGGAATACTTCTGATCTGACTGCAAAATTCTACTCATGGTTGTCCAAAAGAAATTAATGCACATATTGTATGTCCTGTGTTGCAGATTCAACAGAATGTCAATAGAGAGAATAATATTAAAGTGTTGTTTTCATAACAATGTCTGTGGTTATCTCCAGTTTGTACTAACATTTTGTACATGAGATTCCAGACATGGTGGGAGTACTAGTATGCCCTGCGATGTATTGTACATGCCACAGGGAGCAGTTACAAGGGTTCTCAATCTGGCATCCCCTTTAAGGGAGGTTCACACGGGAGCCTCATGTGTCTGAGATTGCTTATGGCATGTCAAGCAAGGCAAGACTTAGAGCTGGGACGGGGTGATGTTAGGTACATGCTTGTTTTGTTTGTCCACCAGTGAGATGTCTGTGTGACGTTTTGTGTCGTGTTTTGGTGCTGTGCCCTGTCCATAGGGTCTGCCAGGCTTCCCCACAGTTGCTGCCCTGCACAGTAATCAGATCCTCACCGTCAAGGTTTGTGGTTGGCACCCATGCCCTCCGTCAGAGCCCGCAAATCAGCATAAGGGTGAGCAAGAACAGCTAAACTGGCCTGCCGAGTCCTGCCGCTCCCTTTCACCAAATGTACCAGCTTCTCCAGTCCTTGGACCTCGTGTCCATCAATGAGGTCAAATATATATATATATGAAGGAGGATCTTGAGCCTAGGAGAGAGTTAAGATATTGAAGTCGAGCAAGGACAGTGGACAGAGGCAGGCACAACTCTTCAGGGCAGTGCCGGGCCTGGAGGGTTGAATGAGAATGCTTTGCAAAGCTCTAAATATTTTTCAATCAATTAAATCACCCTAAGTACTCTGGACTTCGGCATCAACAAAATAGCAGTTGCGTTCCTGCCACATTATGCTGGTTGGCAAGTCTGACGGAAATTGAACTGGCACTTTGTCTGAGGACTTTCTGCTCAGAGTACGGAATGCAGGTGGCTCAAGCTTACACTTCCTTAGAAAGGCCCAAACCCATGGCAAAACGATGGGATCCAAAAAAAGGTCCATCTCTCACTAAAAAATCTGGTCTCACCATCCTGGATCAAGGTTACATTTCTTTCAAGAAGAGCCTGAAGGTCTGATGTCAGACACAAGTGCCAGTTCTGTTTTATTTAATGGTCATTATAACTCTAATGCGTATATCTTTATTTCTTTCTTGGGGCCTTCTGATGTCTATTCTTCAACTCTCTCACCTCTGAACTTCAACCTTTGACCTCACCTGACTGATCAGATGGTGTTTCCTAAAATCAATCATGGGTTTCTCTCTGCTGATCAGCAGCTCATTAAACGCCGCTTGATTAAGGTAGTGCTTATTCTTGCTCAAGTCTGATTTCTTCTTTGCATTCAGTTATTACTCTGTATACTGTTGCTTTACCATTTATCTCCATTGGGTGGGGGTGGGGATGGAAGGGTATTTATTTGGCAATATCTTAGAATAAAATTATGTTTAGTGAGCTGCACTTGTTTGAAATATAGATCAAAGTACCAAAATAAAAGGTACAGAGAGCCTGTCTAAATTTTAATTAAGAAAAAGGTCCCTTTTTTTTTTTTTTTTTTTTTTTTTACAAATTAAGCTATATCCAGTAATAGACCCAATTTCTAAGATCTCTAGCTTTGATAATGTATAAGTTATTATAAAGCATGACAAGAGGCTTATACACTTAATTTTATAAGTTTTGAAAAAGTAAACATTGTCTAATTTCAAATGCAGCATTTTATTAAGATGGATATAGCATTGCCATGAATAAAGTTATGCAACGGCTTTATACCACCTCTGAATTGAGGGATAACAGACACAGGATTTCCAAGAGCTGAGAGTGCTGGTTCCTGAGCTGCTTGGTTTTAATAGCTCCGCTCAGCTCCTCAGCATGAATATTTATTTGATCCCTGCTGGCAGGCAAATCGCCTACAGGCTTCATGCTTCTGCTTGCTCTGATTCTTTCATGGTGTAAATGTGAATTAGATAATGCAAATTTAGAGTGTTGAAAAGAAGACCTGGGTCTTTATCATCCATGGTCATGGTTGGTCTGTCCCCCTCTCCATTGTAGGGCGACCAAGGACAAGCTGGGCCCCCAGGCCCGCCTGGCCCTCCAGGCCCACGAGGGCCTCCTGGAGACACAGGGAAAGATGGCCCCCGCGGAATGCCAGGAGAGCCGGTGAGTTGCTTTTTGGATCACTTGTTCTCACAGGTTTGATTTTGCATTAAGGGCTGAGAGTTGGGGAATTAGAAGGTCGGGTGAGTGGAGTGGGTTGAAGGATGGGGGGAAGCTAGGAAAGCCCCCAAGCAGGGCACTGCCAGCCAGGCTTCTGCTTTACTACTCCATCCTGGGGAACTATTCAACCACAAGGACCTGGGGAGACACCTAAGCCGGTGTTCCGGTAAGCCTCCAGAGTCTGATCGGAGAACCTGATGTCACTTGTGTCCTGACTACACAGAGTTCATCGTTGCCTTTGGTTCAACAAAGGAGACTAGCTTGAAACACTAGGTGGGGCATTAATAACATTTTCCAAAAATCGATAGCAGAGGCAATCAAGTCCCATATGATTTATGGAGAGTAAAGAATTTAAATGTTTCTAATATTTAATCTCTTATAAATAACTTGACCAAAATAATTAGTAAAACAGTAAAATTAATGATTATAACATAAGTGGGTCTGGTTTGGATATTATTTGCCCTTTGTATGTGAAGGTTATTAATAAGAATGATTTAAAGTGAGCTGTTACTCTAATAAATTTAATTAAAAAATAAAAGTGATCTCCATACTTAGATCTAAGTACTAAGTACTTAGTGTCAAGTGTCAATATATAGCAGCACAGGACACTAGATAAGTGATTTGCTTTGGTAGAGACAACCCAGCAATTTAAATAAATATGTAGAAAAGGGCAAACAAATTTTACACTTATATTATGAGGTCAGAATTTGAAATTCAGGTTTATTGATGAATTAAATTATTTATTTTATGTATTGATTCCAGAGAGGAAGGGAGTGGGAGAGAGAGAAACATCAATGATGAGAATGAATCATTGTTTGGCTACCTCTTGCTGGGGATGGAGCCCACAGCTGGGCATGTGCCCTGACCAGGAATCAAACCATGATCTCTTGGTTCATAGGCCGATGCTCAACCACTGAGCCATACCAATTGGGCAAGTGTATTAGTTAACTTTAATAATTATATTCATTAGTGTTTTTCATAGTACAAAAGTAATACAGAAACTATCCATAACATAGAAATTTTTTAAAATAAAGACAACCAAAAAGAAAAAAAATCATCCATGCTCATTGTTTTGGTATATTTTATTTTTGTATTCATATATTATGGCCTTTTTTTTTTTGTCCTTCAAAAAATGATTCTGTTTGTAAGAATATAGAATACTTTAAAACTCTTCTGAGACAACCTTCTATAAGCCCACTTCCCTTTCTGAAAGCTGTTGTTAATTTGTAATATGAAATGAGGAATTAATTTGTAACATATGATTTAGGACTGCTTTAACTGAATCATCAGAGATAGTAGCTTCATCCTAAACTGTCTAATATTTCCTCTTTTCTTTAGATGATATCTCAAAAGATAGAAAAAGCTATAGCTTTAGGGATATTTAGAGCTCTCCAATTGATTGCTGGTTTCCAACAAGATACAGTGTACCTACTCAAGTAAGAAGTATAGTTAAGACCCTTTTGGTGGGATAGAATTAGATCATTGGATAATATATACTGTACAGAAAATTTAAAGCATAAATTACTTTCAAGAACCAAGGAAATTAAGGTATGACATTTTGTAAACCATTCAAATATTATGTCAGCCTTTAAGTGAATGTAGTTTATTCATCTAAGTAAGAAACAGAGCTCTTACTTTTAATACAAAGGTATGATTTATTTAATTACACAAATATAATTTGAACTGGATTTATAATCTCAGAGTTGATTTTTATATACTCTCTTAACCAGTGGAAAAGATATTATAAAAATAAACTGAGAGGTACTTATTTTTAAAGTCCAACAACATCTATATATACTGGCATTACAATCATGTTTTAGAAAAAAAAATACCTGTAGCCAATGACTGTCATTATAATAATATAATAAAACATGATATAATATAATAAAATATGTATGAATCTGAGTATTAGAAAGTTATGATAGTGGTGTAATATGGCAGATAATTTTATATTTATATGTGCTGTCAATTTTAATAAAGAATGTTATCATTAATCCAGGATAATTAAAATTTAAAATCAATCTCTGCTCCTTTTCTTATTTAATTCCTGCACTAAGAGCAGTTGTCTCTATGTGAAATATGTGGGAGTTCTGAATTCTCACAAAAAAGACCATGTTATCATTTTATGTCATTATAAACAGGACATAATAGTAAATAATAGATTACTGTACTTGCAATAAATGAGATATGACTGTGATTATAATTAAATATTTTTTTCTAGGACTACATAATGACTTATACAATTACTCCTACTAATTTTATTTAGAATATATTCTTGGCATAATCTTAAATCTCCACCATAATCTAGACTCACTTTATTAAATCCTAAAATGTTTATAGAATGCATTTAAAGAAAGAATGTTGGCTTTTTTTTTTCATTACATTGTGTTTGCATTTCCTTATTTAGCTTGAAAAGTATATTTGACATTCATGCACCCCAGTGGGTACTATAAAAAGGGAAAATATATATTGAAATTGTTTTTTAATATTTAAATCACTAATAAAATTATCACTGTTTTTGTGTTTTTTTAAGGGTGAACCAGGGAACCCAGGAAAACAAGGCTCAATGGCAAGTATTTCAATTTATCTTTTACTTTAAATTCTATAAATTTTCATAAAATTTCTATTAAAAGTAATGGAAGTCTATTCAAAACTCTTGTCAATATTGTGTGTAACCTGTCATGTAATCTATAACAAAAAGAGTGAAAATTAGTACAAGTTAAAAACTAATATGGTCTCTTGCACAGTAAGCATCACAAGACAACATATGTACAGAACTAACCAGAGAGGAAGAGGAAGGTTCTAGGCGGGAGGAGTGAGAGAGATAATTAGGAAAAGCAAAGGGAGAATTTGTTTTAAGCAGCTCTGCTATAAGAGAGATTAAATGTAGGGATATACCTATTAGCTTAAATAAAGTGAGTTTTGAAAGGGATCAGGTGAGACTAAGTGTGAAGTAGTGTAGTCAGCCTTTCATAGTGACTCAAGGAGTTCTTTGTTGAAGGGCTTCACCCAGGGAAAAGCAGTTGTGTCTCTTGATCTAGGTCATTAAAAAAGATCATGAAATGAGTCCACATGGACTCGCCCGTAGACACGCAGGGTCAATTCCTCGGGATTGTTTATCCTTTGTCATTGGGAGAAGTTTGGTCAGCTTGCTGAGCCCTGAAGAGTAGAAGCCCTTCAGCTCGCCTCTCCCTGTCTCTCTCCCCTGTCCCTGGAGCCATCTTTCTGACCAACTTTACGACATGAACCGTATTGGGGAACACAGGTTGACAACGTAACAACCCACGTTTCACAGGACAGCTGTGTCTCACTGCATTGTCCCGGACACAGTGATCACAGTGAGCTCCATCCTGTTCATTCTGTGGAATGTGTGACATGCAGCACGCAGGTGTTCGGGGTACAAAATTTACTTGTAAAAACACGTCAGCTAAGTGCTAGTGAAACTGATGCACAGGCACAGGACAGTCGGTCAGGAATTAAAACAAATGTGTGAAGGGGTCAAAGGTCAAAGTCTTATCCCTGCACAGGATGCTTTCAACAGCCCTCATGGGAAGAAACTCACCAAAGTGTGGTCATTCATAGCAGTAGTGTAGCTGCCTTTGAAACACCACTGGTGAAATGAAAGCCCCTTGGGGCTGAAACTGACCCTTCACCTGGAAATTCTCTGTTCCTGACCTATGACATTAAGATGGGTATTTGATACAGATAATGGGTGTGTGGGTGTGTGTGTGTGTGTGTGTGTGTGTGTGTGTGTGTGTGGAGGGGGGTGGATGCTATATTGGATTCTTTTTAAAGAGAATAAGATGAACAACAGAAGGCCGTATATAAAAATTAAACAAAACATTTGTCATCTGTGGCAACATTGCATACAAGAGCAGCATTAGCTGTCAGGGTTATAGAGCCACAGGAGGTGAAGGATTCTTGGAAAACTACAATATAAATTTTGAAATTGCTTTAGGCAATTGAATGCACCTGTGATTTCTGTCCTGGATAATGGTCAAAACATATTCCTCCCAGATCTTCTTCCATCGAAGGCTCCTTGGGACTCTTGGGAGCCTTGTTTGTTCCCAGGTGTGCACATCTTACTCAGATTTTTATCGTTACCCTTGGCTTTCTACCCCAATGTCCAGTGCAGTATCCTGGTATACAAAGTTCTAAAAGGAAAAAAAATGGGTATTTAGAAAAAACCTCCTTAAACTCATATATGCTCTCTAGAATATACTGTGTGAATAACAATGGAATCTCATTCCCCTACAATTCCTAGCTTAATGTTATTAAATATACATGTTACACCTGAAATTATCTTAGTGTGCTGCAATTTCCCATTTCTTATAGCAACTTTTGAGATGAAGATAATCCTGGGTTTTTAAACATATATTTTTATTGATTTCAGAGAGGAAGGAAGAGGGAGAGAGAGATAGAAACATCAATGATCAGAGAATCATTGATCAGCTGCCTCCCGCATGTCCTACACTGGGCATCTAGCCTGCAATGCAGGCATGTGCCCTGACTGGGAATCAAACCATGACGTCCTGGTTCATAGGTTGATGCTCAATCACTGAGCCATACTGGATGGGCATGGGTTGTTTTATTCTATAAGCTATTTTTCTGTTTTTAAACTCTTCATATTTAGTTCATATTCTCATTTTTTAAATGCAGCTAAGAAACTTCATTAAATCACAAATGTTTAAAGGGTGTGTGATGTAATGATCTTCTAAAGTGCATTGTACTGTTTTTCAAGACCTAAAATTCTTCTTTAACAGAAGACTTATATACCAAGCATGTCAAACTGTCAAACTCACAGGCTAACATGGGCCAAATAAACAAGGTTTAAGTTTATGTGGGCCACAAAAAAAAAAAAAAAAAAAAAAAAAAGCTTCAGTTTTCATAGAAACATAGTTTCATTTTGATAGAAACATGCTGAATACAAAGGGCTGAAATAAGTGAGTAATCATTAACATAAAATAATAGAACATTTTAATAAAAACTAATATTTTTGTTGAACATTAATAACAAATTAATAACCATAACACAAATAAACCTATTTTTCTTGTTCTCTGAAAACAAACTATTTCCTGTTGCGCACACCAAACAAGTCAGTCCAAGATTAATGACGTGGCAATCGGCTGCTAAAATATTCACTGCTAGTATTAGTGAGGAGAAATGGAGTGCCTGTGGATGAGGTGCATAAGGGAAATGAATGCAACACGATGATAGTAATCAGTCATTAGCGAACGTTGTAGTTCGTTATTAATAATTATGTATAACAAGATATTGTAAAAATTAAATTAGGAAATTTTTATTAAGACATTTCTTACATACCATTATATTGGCTGGGCAGCAAAAATATTCATTGAGGGTCACATGTTTGACATGCTTGTTCTACACTATACTTAAAGAAAAATAGACAAATCTTAAAGTCTAGATCTCAGTGAATTTTCACAGTGAACATAACTGTACAACCAAAGATCAGGTCAAGAAATAGAATGTTTTCATATCAAGAAGCCCCTCTTACACTCCAGTTGCCACCCCTTCTTCCCTAATTTTGCCATTATTCTGCCTTCTGCCACCATATTCTGCCTTTTGCCTGCATTTATTTAAATTTTATATTACTAGAAGCATCCAATATGTACACTTCTGTGTCTGGCTTCTTTCGTTCAACAATATATTGTGAGATCATCCACCTCTGTTTTAATAGCCTTCACATCTGGTTAAAAAAAAAATAGGAGGAAGAACCTTACTTCCTTGAATACCCCTTAAAAGTACATCACTCAAATAGCAGTAAATGAATGAATAGTCTGTCTGACCTTGGGCAAATCACTTAACCTCTCAATTTCTCATCTGTAAAGAAAGGATAATAATACCCTGTCTGCCTTCCTTTTAAGGTTGCCAAAGACAAATGCAATAAATTAGAGGAAAGTACTTTAAACTGCATAATGAAGAATATATGAGTATGTTATTATTATTATCACTCAGTTGTTCCCTCTAGAGTAAATTACAGGTGAGCGTGGATTTATATAACAGATGCATTCCTGTAAAGTTCTGTATGAATCAGATTTTCATAAATCAACATATCTTATATGTGCTGAGGAATTTTGCTATATAAAGCAATCCTATTCAGAATTTCCTTGTAAAGTAATATAATCTCTTAATTCTTCTTCCTAGAAAACTGAATTTTTATATCTTTTATTTCCTTAACTTGAACTATTTATGATTTTAAAAGCTATCATTTTTAAAAACCACTATTTATGTTTAAGTTAAATAGCACATGTGTATATTAAACAACCTCAAAAAGAGGAGGACTAAAAATATAATAGCAGTTTTCATGAGGAGAAACATTTCCTAAGAAAGTTCCTCTTTTCTTTTAAATAATGGTGTGTGTGTGTGTGTGTGTGTGTGTGTGTGTGTGTGTGTTTTGACTCAAAGTCCGGTAAGCAAAAGGATGCATTGCACCCAGCCCACCCCACCCCCCCAACCCCCCAGTTCTGGCTTCAAAACCACTTAGGAGTGCATGACTGTAGTCTGTGATCCTTCTTACGGACCTAAAACATGTGGATAAATTTCCATTTTACTTATCTCACTGGGTTATGATGAGAAGCAAGTAAAATAATAATATGAAAAGGATTTATGAGCTACAAAGATGCCATAAATGAGAAGTTAAAAGTCTAATGATACAACTTGACACACAGGAAGACCACTCTGAAATGTAAGGGCTAAGGACACTGTGGTTAAAGTCATCAGCAAAACCACAGTGTGTCAGATACTTGGATGATGATGCCACTTACTCCTTTTGTCCTGTTTGTTGTTGTCATTGTTTTTGGCTTTCTCCCATGTATTGCATCATCTTACACTACCAACTTCCACCACACTGCCCTGCTCATCCTCCAGCTTAGGGGTGTCGAACTCAATCAGAGAAGGGGCCAAAATCTAAAATCCAGCCTAAATCGCGGGCCGAATGGTTTACTGAACAGTCATAAACTGTCATTGTGATGGAAACGCAGCGGAGTGCAGTGATGACAGCGCGGTGCGGGCCACATTGCAAGGCCTGGCAGGACGGATTTGGCCCGCGGGCCTTGTGTTTGACACATGTGCTCCAGCTGAAGGAAGGAAAGACAACAAATACAACTGTTCTCGGCTTTTCACAAAACCCACTACGTTCCTTGGTTTGTGTTGTGCAGGGCAGTGTGTGTGTTTGCTTAAATGAGAGTTTTGAGAAGCACTGGAGCATTATTAAAATTTTTTAATGTCCCTGATGATGCAATGAAAAAAGCTAGGAACAAATCTAAAATTAGCTCTTACAAAACTGTTTATGAGCGCGTCAGGTGGGGAATTTGTTTTCCTGATACAAGACATATATTTTATATTACAAAAATAATCATCCGAAGATTAACAGCTTCTCTGGCAGAATGAAGAAGACCTGCTGCTTAGGCGGCTCCACATTTATTTAATCCCGCTGTGCATCTATTCTGTAAACATGACCTTCGGGTTTTCCGAGAAGTTCAGGATGAGGTTTTAAAAGACAGAATCTTGAGCTAAAATAAATTGGACTGCATCTGAATAAAGAGAAAA